CATGATGCCTCTGGGCTCTGAAGTTTTGCCACTCATTCTGCCTACAAGGAAGCTGACCAGTAAATAAGGCAGCATCTGGCTGTAATTTGGAAGGTCTGTACAATGGCATGCACTGTTCTCTGCAGAGCAAATACTTGCTGTAAGTAATGTTTTCAAAGCGTATTATCTGTTTGCCCTCCTGGAGGGAAGCTGTGAGTGGTTAATACGCCAACAAAGCAGAACCCAGTGGTGCTAATGACTGGCTAATCAAGCAACGGCTATTCACACTTTGAAATTACTTCCCAATTGACTGATTGCTCGGAGGAAGGAAAACTTCATAGATTTCAAATACAGACAATTTAAATTTTTCTCCAATTCCAACTCTTCCCTCTGGTGTCACCAGAGACCAAGCCTGGAATCCTTATGACAGCTGTGCAGAATGGATTTGGGTCAGTAGGAGTTACAGATCCCGGATGGGAATCACACTCAGATATGAGTTCTTAGGGTAGAAGACTCTCCTTTCTGTTCTTGGAGACGTGCTGTACCTCACCTTGAAGAAACTGACGTTTAGCCACTTCAAGTAAGCACCATTAATCATTTGTAAGAAGGCACCAGTTTTAGATCAAGATAAAGCAGCAAGAGCATAAATGAGGAAATCCACAGAATAGCAGAGATGTGCCAGCACAGCATTTATCTAGCATCTTTTGCAAGATCTGTTCTTTCTTTTTAGATGGGACACTATATTTTTAAATAAAACAAGCATCAGAGAGCAAGGAAACTCTCTCAAGTTCTGAAGGTTTAACTCAGAGCCTGATATAGAAAATCTTCGACTTTTGAACCCTCAGAACCATGTCCAAATTATTTTTTGAGCAAATTCTTCTCTGTTAATCACAATTTAAGAAAATCATGAATAAATCTCCTTCACTGATAACACCAGAAATCCATGCCTTCCTGTCTAGAGCTACAATCACTCAACACAGGACACAGATTAGGATACAAATTTAGCAGAGTGCATGTTTACTAAAGGTGTCACTTGTTTATATACTCTGGCTTGAATTTATCACCAGACTGAGGGGCTGGAGGGACTCCTTCCTTAGATCAGGCCAGTCTGTAGCGCAGTGCTGCATAGGACTATTCAAACATTCCAACTGGATCAATTTCTCTTTGTGATAAAGACCAAAGCTTTGGACCTTTTAAACAGAACAGCAACATTTCTTCCAAGGTGTTTAAAAACAGTGAGGAGTGCTTTGTAGGACCTACTAGGACCAAAGATCAAGATCACCTGTGGGGATCCCTCTTAGATATGCTTGATTCAGGTTTATTCCTGAAACTAGTGAAAAGATACAAATTTCCCAGAAGGAAACACTGCAGTTTGCAATGCTCAGAATTATGAACTAGAAGGTTACTTACATTTGCTAATTACAAGTTTGGGTATTACTAAATCATATTAACAAATTATTAAGACCCACTGCATTTCATGGCCAGACAATCAATAAATATCTATTTAGCTGGTTGTTAAATCTGAGCATACAGCAGGATATGTATTTATATTTAATTACTGAAACAAGACACACATAATTCAACTACACAGTGCTGGACTTCAAAATAACATGGTATTTGAAGCCCAAGTCTCTCAATAAAACTTGCTGTCCAAGGAAAATCTTGTCCTCAAATGCTGGATGCCAATAACTGGATAAGGAAAATGAAGACTAGCTCCAGGTGGAAATTATTCCTGGCTAAAGCTGCTGAGAACCCTCTCACTCAGGATTTATCAAGCCCCAAACAGGGTCAGCTATGTCGTCTTCCAAAGGGTGTTTTTTGGAGCCCGTGACATGCAGATATGGTGAGAACATACCAAACGTTTCTCACAGAGAAGCCCAGTGGGCACCCTCAAAAATAGAAGTTGCGCTGTGACAAGGAAGATGGGCAGAAATACCAACTACAGAGTCATTTCTGTCCCCTGTTTTCCAGACCCCTCCAAATACCCTCCCATTTATACAGACACTGGTAGAGAGAGACATCAGTCATGTTCAGATCACCTTAATGTTGCACTCTGACTATTTCTTTCCACAGCTGGGTAGCTGAAGGAAGGCAAACTGGTTACAGCTCTAAGCACTTTTTTATTTTTGGAGTTCCCTGTCTGGGTGTACAGGCAGACCAACAGACAAAGGAGACATCAGCCACTTTCCTAGTGCTAGGCTTACAAATTTGGCTAGCTGCCCCATCCTATTCACTTCTGTATTTTGTCATCATGACACATCTGAGCTACTTTGTCTTCAGAGGTTTGTCTTCAGAGGTTCCCCCAGACACTAGTGAGTTCCTAGAGTACATTTTGGATCAGCAGCAACAGTTTGTCCTTCACCTCCCTGAGATGTGATTATAAAAGGCTGAGGATACCATGCACTGCGATCTCCCTGGTGTCTTGGATGAGGCTGTTGCCCCCAGCAACTTGTACAGTGACAGTGTTCATCCCCTCCACGGTGAACATGTAAGAGATGCTGCTCTCCAAGGTGATGAGGGGCTGTAAGAGGCAAACACAGATGGCAGTGTCAAAATCAGGGTGAGATTAACTCAGGATCACAACATGCACTTGGCTGATCTACCAGACAACAATGTCCTTCCTCCTCGATACAATCATGGTGCTATGAGCTTCCATGTCCTGCTAAGGCCTAAACACCACCCTGTGAAAAATGTCCCAGAGGCAGAGGTTTCTCTCACTTCAGTAAATGCTTCCTGAAATATTATTCCACTGACCTGCAACCCATTATGCTATGAACCCCTCAGTAAAGCACCATCAGCAATTGCAGAATTAGTGCTGCAGAATGCATTGTTGCACACACAAACACACAGGCACACCCAGCACTGTTGCTTTCTCAGCTGTACAAAGTACAGGGTCCAGCTCAAATTGAACATAAGCCACAGATGCAGATGCGTCTTCAAACAATCAGTATTGCTCAGATTCAGGGCCAGCCTTTGCTTTTATGAGCACAAATCCATTTATCTATCACAGTGCAACACTGTTCAGGTTAGACTGATGACATCCAGCATTGCAATGCCCCTGTTTTGAGCCTGTAAGCTTGGTTCAGTCATGAACAAGAAACACATGCTATCCAGGCTGAAAGCATGGCAAAATTCCT